AGGCATCTGGCTTATGAAATATGTATCTTAATTATCTACTTATTGTCGTAATGACATATATGTTTTGATAGCTTAATGTAGCAAATATTATGCTTTATATATGTGTATATTTGTTTCCATCGGCACACCTATGAGGCTCTTCAAAGTAATTTCAATACACGATATGACGTTGCAAAAAGTTAACCGCGTTACAACTTAAATATTTTACGAGCGCTCTCTATTGATTTAGGGATTCATGCGATAAATGCAGTATTAGGTCAAGTAAATTTTAATAGCCCGTGCAAACCACCTGTTGCCCCACCAACATTGCGCCTAGCTACTCTGAGCTTGACATTCACGGCCCCCGTGACGAAGTAGACCGAAATAACACACTGCCCGACCGCATAACACTGCGTAATGATCCTTCTATTAATAGTGCTATAATTAATAGACTGAAATTATGCCCAACGCTACTCGATAATCATTTAGTATTAATTGAAGCACTAACATCATTAGTGCTATTCAAATAGACTACGTTTTGGCAGATTAGGTTGTTATAGATGAACTTTTGTCACTACTTTTATACAAGTCTGACGTAATGACGTAAAAAATACTTTTGTCCCCATTATTCCGTTTTACGCGTGGTCGACAATCAAAATATAAAGATATGATCTCTCGCTCTCGTCAGCCTGTATTGTGAACAGTGGCCTGAACAGCTGATGATTTGATGAATACGCTTTACGTCCCATTGTCGATACTCAACAAGTACAAAAAAGTAAACCGGTCAGTGGGCTTTCGTCGTCCCACAGAAGCTCGTCGAAATGAAGTAATAATAGTAATAACGCTCAATCCCATCTCGTTCGTTTTCTCTTTTTCTCGCAACAATACAGTTATGGTTTGGCTTTTTTGTAGATACGCAAAGGGATAGCCCGTCGCCGTTTAATATGTAAAGGAAGGCAAGGTTACACTCACACGTGCTCGCGCGTACGTGTAAAGTGCGTTTGTAGTTGAGGGAATTCCCAACTTTTTACAAACACAATCAAAGAGTTATGTAATGTTTGCTCGTATCCAGTGTTCGCGGCCGCCTCCGTTGTTTATGCGGATACCGATATTATACATGTGTTACCTTGTCTTGTATTAGTCATAGGTCATTAACATTTCAGTTAAATAGCGTTCTACTATGTATATATGTGAATGTCATAACTCGTGTTACATTTTAATACGTATCAGGCGTAGGTGCAGATCTTTCTGCGACACACCGATGAATAGTAATTCGAGTACAGATCTGGTTATTTTGATCATGGTGATCACAAGACGAGGTGGCTAATGTGCTTACCGTAAAAATGACAATAAAGGATTTAGGTAGTTGTGTCTTGCTTATCACTACTTTTACCAACACTTCTAATGTGTCAAGATTTGAAAAAATCAACAACATTCATATTCGCTTCGTGGTCATTTGGCAATTCGGTGTTTATGTACATAAAGATTAATTCGGTAGGAAAGTTCTTAGTTTCGAAGAGTTCAAATTAGTATCGATAATTATATGTTTATTGATTTGCTATGTGATATATACATAAGATGAAAGTTATTCCGTAGAAAGGTGGTTATTTTAAAAATTCATGATCCAAATAAAAACTACGCAAGCGATCTATTCATCCAGTATATATATATATATATATATTTAATATCATAAGAATCATAATAATGACAAACAAGAATAATTGTATGAACCGACGTGCTGTAATGGCATATAAGCTCGATTTCATTATGTTAATGTAAGGGCCCGTTGATAATGACATAATAGATGTAGACATGACGGCCACTCCGGCCTAGCTAGGAATCCGGTCACATTCCTAACGGTTTGCACTTGCACTAACCGCCTGATGCAACTAAATTACGATGTCAAAACATATGTTACATTACTGGACTGCTTCTTTGGGACAGGGTACCGAGACAGCCAAATACTTACATATTTTCTCACGACTCCAATAAGCATAGCGTTTTATAAAAAAAATATTTATTATAATACAATATTTATTTACAATAATTCATCTTAACCAATTATGTAGTAAATTGACCTAATCAATTTTACAATTCTTGCTATGAATGTTAAGAAGTATACAGTAATAATAATAAGTAAGTATATAGTATTTTAAGCTTAACTTCATGAAACATTAGAGACAGACATGCAATTGAACTACAACAATTTATTTAATTTGTTCAAGGAAATAAATTCCAATATGTTAATAAGAGGCATCAGCAAGATAATCTATTTCATATTTAAAACATAAGTACAATTAAAAATACATGTTCTTTTGAAGCCTGTTTTAGATTTAAAAAACCAGATTTATTATTTTATTGAATCTTCTTTATATAAAGGAATTTTGATTTGTGGGACACAAAGGAAAAATTAAGACTATATTCTTTAACTGTGTCTATTGCGGTATAAAGATTAGGTAAATTGAATACTTATCGTTATTCTCGCAAGTCGTAATTAATCGCGACGTTAGTATTACGTTGAGTTTAACATTGCCATCTATTGATTAAGATTACCTAAACCTTTACCCTCCTCACACATCCAAATCTACAAATTGTAGCCTACAAATAATAGCTTTGTGCATTTGGTAGTCGATATCGTACAAAGACCGTATTGATTAAACACATTTTTAAAAATTTAAACTTGATTATTTAATTATCTATTAAATAAAGAGAAGCAAGAGTTCAAATGTCTAATAGAATTATCTTTCGTGTTGTCGATGCGACGAGCGACACTGTATACGAAAATCCAATATGGAAATTTACGTCAATTAAGTGTAAACACATTTGAACGACTATTTTCATTAAAGAACTTCCTTCTTGATACCCCTTTGCGAGTTAACTAGGTCACTGAAATGCTCATTCTGACGATATATTGTAGAAATTCTCTAAGGGGCTCTATATTTATGTCAGATAGGGGAAAAAGTCGGCGGGGAGTGTGATGTAGTGTGTATGAGATCGTTTTATTAATATTGCACGCAATGTTGTTTTCCAGTATTGGCCGATAAATTTGGAAGTCGTAACATTGATCGAACTGCATTGTTCTCTCGTGCGTGGGAATAGGTGCGTGCGCGGGGTGCGCACCTACCCGCGGGTCAATTACTGCATAAATCAATACGGATGTCGCCCTATGCGGTAGCTCTTTGTTCCAGCCGACTGGAGACACGAGGCCCGTCTCAGTGGTTCCAGCTCTGTCCGGAAAACTCGCTGAGGTATCGCGGGGTCGGATGATTACTTATTAACGTAGGTGGAGGCTGGCGCGGGCGGGCGCGCGATCGATGCGGCGTCCGCCAATGGCGCGCTGCCGCCGAGCCCTGCGCAACCCTCGCGCTAGCCTCCCGCACCCCCGCCCGCCGCACCCCGATAACACACCGCCCTCATAAATCATCGAATCCTCCATGAAATACCAAAATATTCGTAAAAACGTATCTCTAATTATTGCCATCGAAACTCCTCGCGTCCGCTTACGTAGCCGGCCCGCCTTTTCGCTAGTTAGGGTCTTAGTTTTGCAATGTAAAATATTTGTATCGTCAAAGAGCCGACCGATTCTCGGCGCTCGTTTGCCTCGGAGCGGGGCTCGTACGGAATAATTGAATTTTCATCATAGAACAAAATGAGAGCTGAAAACTGAAACGGGCGGCATTGTTGGCACAGCGAATTACTTCGGACGTCAATTATTTAGACGTTTTATCTCGTTGAAAATTGATATAACAGGAAAGGCAGGTCGATTTTATTGGGGAAATGTGGCGGTAATGCCTTAGTGCAAGGGTATTTTTATGCTAATGTGAACATTTGGTTATACTTTAGGCAAATTGTAATTGCTCTTGGTTACTTGAACTTGGTTGTTTATAACGTTTATTTACTGTCTATTATTTGTGAAAGGAATCATTAAAGTATTAGTATGTACTTAGAATTGGGGTTATTCTGTACATACAATATCGATATGGTTCTTTAGAGATATGTGACGCAAAATAAAAAAAAATATTTAAAGATTGGTTACAAGGGGACCTAATTATGGTCTTCTTTCATATTCTATAGTGAATCCTCAACATATTTTAAAATCAGTACCAAGATCCCAATTACGGCCGTTTTTTGTTATTACTTTAGTACTAAGAAATGGGTTTTTCACTGAACATAATAATGTATGTGCTATGCGCGTCTATGTGCTCCACTGTATTGTCAATATTCAAAGAACATTACAGATTACATTACATTATTAGAAAGTTTTACATGATGTTTATTTTGTATTCTATATCTTGCTTAACTTATGTGGTTGTTACAAAATGACCCTTGAAAAGGGGGGGACAAAAGTTTACGATCGTTTAAGTGGGTTGTAGTAAATTGCGTATGAAAGGTTGTAAAGCCGAAATATCTTTATAGCGTACTGTTTCGAATGTTTCACTAAATTGTTTTGTAAAACTCTGAAGGTATTTTGGCTGCGCAAGTTCTATTGCAGTGTGTATACTCGGTTTTGATACAAATGCTGGGTCCTTATATCGCACCTGTTATTAAGTTGAATTTATTTTAACACACAGAACGTCGAGCAATCCATCTTTCTATATTATATTTAGGCTTGAAATTATGAATGAATTTACTTGAAAAACTACCTAATTGGATCATTGATGTTACTTTTTTGTACGTAATAAAATAATATACTTATCTTATTACACATACTGAATGCATGGGATCCAAAATATATATAGTGTTTCATGTATACACGAACGTAAAGTATTATTTTACACATGTACACTAATTACTGTTCGTACAAAGAAGTAGGTAAAAGTAATAGTAACATTAATATATCGTAAATTACATAAGAGAATTTAAATTATCAGACCGTGTACTTAGATTCTATACATAGTAAGAGGCTTTATTTTTTAGATATAAGATTAAATATTTTAAACCTCAAATGCTTAAACTAAAAGCAAGTTTAATTAGTATTTGTTGCAATACGACAGTATTCATAGAGTATATTTGTGTTTCAGCCCCCTCGAGGTTACGGCGGGCCACCGTACGGCGCGGGCGCACCCGGAGGCCCGCAACAACCGCCCGGTGCTTACGGTCCGCCAGGGTCCTATCCCCCGAGATATGCACCGCCACCGGGTCCGCCAGGCGCGCCTAACTCAAGACCTCCGTTTTCGCCACATCAGGTTAGTTCTTTGCTTTCTACTTGACCTAAAAAGATGGTCTTTTACAACTAAGTTTCAATTTCTACTCTACTCTTCTTCAGTAGAAGTTGAAATTAATACTTTAATTATTTAAAAGAGCGTGATGCTTACCATCTCCGTGGAGCAATGCTCAAATGCATTGTATAGCTTTACGATCACAATATCATAGAAGTTACTTGTGAGCTTCATTCCCGACGGTGGTATAACGGATTTTCCATTCTTTGTTTTAACTTTAATTAACTTATTTCTAAATTTATTGTCGCGACAAGCACCTAGTAGATAATGAAACAGTGTTTAATTAAATTTTTTGTTATCCTATTAATGATGTAGGACTACTAACAGAGTTACAAAAATTCTATTACAAATAATTACCTATTGGTGTATTTCAAATATTATAAAGATGTAGATAGACTTGGGATTATCCGTATTTCACCGATATTAGGTGCTTAAGTTTAATTACAAATATGATTTACAATAAATTAATATTATGTGACTTATTGTAAATTATCATCATGAGTTATTTTATTGAAGTAAACTTGTCTTAAATGTGTTCTTATTCGGTTTCATAATTGCTATTATTAACGTGCTTGATTACTGCATACGGCTTCATACAATGTTTAAAAAAAAGCCTTCAGCCTCCATTCTTTGAGATTAAAATGAACTTCATCCCGAGCTCCTTGCAAGTACTCTTCATAGTCATATTACACGATTCATGTTCAAGATAAAACTAGAGATCCTCGAACATTTCTTAGAAACGTTGAGCCGGCGACGCGTCGGCGCGTCGGAGCCTCATCCACTCACGTGAACATAAACGATCTATCACTCTTCACGGATCCTTCATGGAAAACTCGCTTGTATGTTAATGCCGGTACGGCCTAGAACCGCTCGATTTTCCTAGGGCAAATGACGTAAGCCGTTCTGCGCGCTCGCTGACGTAAGCTCGTTGTGCAACGAAGCCCGAGGTACGCTTTGGAGGGCTCTCTCGCTTAGAGCGAAGTCGCGTAGAAATCGACGTTAGGAAACGCTCTGACAAGACGCAAGGTCGGTACGAAATCGTGCCTGCCGGGTAAATCGCTTAGAGTGCTATTGAGTGGCTTAAGACCATGTTATCTTGTTACTTGTGTCTCTTTCGACCAGAGACCTGCAGCGTAAAAAATAGAACTGACATACAATTTGTTCCTCTTTGTGTACCTATTATAATTTTAGACAATAAGGAAATGGCATTTTACTCGCAAGAAAAAGTTAATAATACGTCATTCTGCTATGATTACAAGATGACTTTGAGATATAGGTATAAAGGTACAAAAATGATACGTAACTTTTAAATTCATACAATAATCCTGGAAATAATATACCTTACCATGAGGGCATTTACTGTACTTACCTACTTTCATGATGCTATGCTCATCCTGTATCAACTCTAGGTATATATATATATGCATTAGTAAGCCATTAATATCGCATCTAAATTATACCAATTGTGCCCTTGATTGATTTCATTGAAGAGGCATTAAATCCATCGTCGTATATTCTGAGTTTCGCGTTGGTATATATTCCCACTGAACATAGGATAGAGATAGGAGATTTTAACTTTGGTGACTATTTTATTGCATTGTTCAATGGTATATCCATTTTACATTATTATGTTTTATATAAGTAGTGTTCATTATTAAGAAGGTTGAATTATGGATTTCTGGGTACAGAAAAAAGTTGGGTTAACCGGGCCAAACAATTGCAATTTTTCTTATGCATCTCTGCATGTTGTTCTCGCTCGTTCATCATCGTCATGTTCATGTCTTGTTGTCATTATGTTCATTGTATTAACTTTAGTAAATATTTTTTTTATAGAATTTTTATTCTTGTTTCTTAAGATAATGCCCTTATTCCGAGTTATTTGGGCAGTTCACCTGGCCTCTATATTACATTGTGTCTCGCTGCCATGTCTATGTTAATTCATCCAGTGACGTCAGCCCCTTCTTCAGAGCTAAGCAGGATCCGTTTTATGCGGTACCGCGAGAAAACGGGCTGCATCCGGGTGCAATGAATGCCACGACGTTTTCAAGGGCGCGCCTCAGGTGATGACGTACGATACGTACCCCTCAGCCACCTAACCACCCACGGGTGTACCACCCACCTAATAATGCACGTCTGCGCCCTGTCTGCCGCGTCCAAACCCACTGCAATCTTAAGTACACCTTTTAAACCCCGCTGCACGCCTAACAAAAACACCATATCGTGATGACTGCCAGACAGGCGATATTCGTTCGTAGACAGCGCTGATGGGCAATAGGAGAGACTCCTAATGGATGAGGATTTCAAAGTGTAGTGTTGAGTTACTTGTGAAGTTGTTGTATGTCAAAGCTGGATGCGCTCGGTGGACTGTGGCGAACGTGATATTAGTCGAAAATTAAAGTTAATAGCAAGTTATCTAATTATCATAATAATAGCGGAGAAGAGGGTGGCGGCCCCGTCAGCTGAGCGAAAACGAAAGTAAACAGAACTCGGTCAAAGGGTTTGTACTCACCTACCCGCAATATTTATGTGGGTAAAAGGGGGTCGCCCACCTCCCGAACCAGTCACCCTCCTTTGATGGATTGGTTGGCGACCGGCGTGGATGCTTCGACTAAAACGACTGAAACACGGCCAAACTCGACTAGGCGTCAGTCCCGATTTCCTGTTACCTCAAAACGAAAAACTTTTACCTCCAAATTATTCAGCGAAAGTTCTTGGAATTCTTTTTGTTTTGTTTTGGCCGCAGCCACCCCGTCGCCCACCCCGCACTCGAAAGTTATTCCAGTGACACGGATTGTTAAATAACACTCGTCGTAAAGGTTCAATCTGCAGATTACGACACAATAAAATCTTTTTATCGCCTTTCTACCTTTTCTTATCTTTCAAATATTATTGTCTGAAGGTATCTTTGAATCGCCTTTTCATCTAATGACGGTGATAGATTAATACGTACCGACAGGTACTGTGTAGGTTTCGGCTTACCTGTAAATGAGGCCTCTGTATCCAATTACATTGTGGAGACCGAAAGGCTCCGGCGAAATCCATTATGCCAGCTCGTCGATAAGCTGATTATAGAAATAGAGCCCAGAGTGGAACTTCTGTGTTGGACTGATTTTAGACTTTTAAACACTAAATAAATTACATTTTTAAATGTGAGACATGAGAACCTGCCGAATTTATCTATTTTCCTCCAAGTTTATTGTATTTTCCTCTTTACTATACTATATACATTAAATGGTATGAAGAAGTAGTGGTATTTATTTAAAAATGCAAGTTTATTAACATTTGAGCAAATAAATTTCTTGGGATTTGTTTTACAATCGTTATCATCGTAACGGGCAATTATTTCGCATACCCGAGGAAAATGCGCATGAGTCATCTTGAATCGTGGCAAATATCGTTATCTATGGTATAGCCTTGAAACGTGACGCGGAAACTAGTTGCCGAGTGAAAGCATTGTGCGATTGATGCAATGAGTCTGACGCGAACTGTGTCGAGGACGCCCTCCGTAATGAATGAATTAGACGAGAATTATGATGCCGACTTGATGATTCTTAAATGGTTTCTTGTCGGCGTATTTACATCGCTCTCCTACTTGTTGTAGCTCTAAAACTCCCGTAAGTCTAGTGTACCTGCACATGTTATAGTTTGACGTACATTTATCAACACTTGAGGAGACTGCTGTGTGAAACCTGTGAAAGCTGGTATGGCCCAGAGCTAAATTTTCGGCATGTGTTAATCTGCGGCTTCGTGTGGCCATGTGGCCAAAAGCATATGAAGGGTTTCAAACTTTTTGAGATCTGTTATTGCGTTGTTGTTGAAGACCTAAGTTCGAAAAATCCGAGTGCATTTAGTACCTTAAATCTTCTATCATCACAATGATAAATACCATCCTTCTGTTAATAAAGACGAAATTATAAACCCTTTGCATCATGCTGCCCGGCTATTTCAGTGGAAGGCAAAAAGCCAAGTGCTACCAGCTGCTGAATGCCAACGGCTTCGCATATTACTAACTTTTTATGACTGCAAAAGTCTAAGTGAGCTGTGAGCTGAATTCTTAGTATTATCGTCTAGGTGCCTTGTACGAAGCCTGTTGTGATAATAGAACCTCTATAAAACGAGCGACGATGCGATCGTTTCCTCTTTGTTGACTATAAGATTCCAATAAGGAAAAAATAATTTTCATGTTTCAAAATCTGGACTTTCTTATGCAGCGGATCAAAAGATTTTTTTATGATAGAAAAGGACAGACAGTGAATAAACTTTGCGGCTTTTTCATTTGAGGACAGTGGACGGAATTAAAATATTCCTACCACCCAGTTAGCAATCTGGATAGATTGCTGGACATAGTCCAAAATATTTCGGAAAAATTATAAATAGATTAGAAAAATTTGGGGTCGGTTCAATCCCGAACCCAACAACCCCTTTTTTGGGCTTTTCGTCTGTGGGCGATGATTATATCCAGAGGGGATTTCCATAGTAGTATCATTACGCATTTCATATACAGATTTCTAGATGAAGTTCAAAAAAATTATATCTTGATTAGAGACACGTTGGACCCAGTGGGCATCGAACCCACGACCCGTTGATTATAGGCCATACATTGCTCTCATTACAACGAGTCCATCAAAATATGATAGTGGTCATTTTATCTAATATCTATAGCTGATTGCTCCAAATAATTTATATTTAAGGAATCTCAGTGGCATTGTACCATGGTCACTCATACAAAAACCACTAATATAGGAATATAAATCTACAAGTTAATATAATATTTATGTTATTATCTGTTAATTAATTGCGTTCAGACATTGAACTCTATCCGTCGCCCGTTACACACAACCGCGACTGTGTACTGTATTTTAAGCCGTGCGCTTACAAGCTATTTATAACGCGCGGATAACTACGAGTAGGTAGGTGCATAGATCGGTTGTGTGTTGCACTTATTCGTGAGTGCATAATGCACGGTCAAGGACAATCGTGCACCACGTGGCCTATTGTTTCATCTGCTGTTCGTGTGAAGGAGTAACTGTTTAGTCTGTGTGTGCGACGTTTTAAATTGTATCATAGTGTGCTGTTACTGTGGTGTGGGAGTTTCGTGACAGTGTGCTTGTGTGCGAGTATGTTTTTATGAGCGGTGGACAGACAAGCATCATGTTCATTTGATGTAAGGTGCGTACCCCAGTCGTAAAACGTCTAAAAATCGTGTGCTGTCGGCCTATTTTGCTAAGTCATACGGATTTACACTGATTGAAGCCAAAGCACGACTAACTTTATGGATTTTTCATCTGTGGACACAAGTGATCCAAACAATATTTTGATAATCTCCCCACCCAATATGCTTCTAAATTGGATACCCGATGTAAATCGAACCCATTATTAGCAATACATTGCTACGATTAGACCTAGGAGCCCAGCAAAATTACAATTCTTGAATGGCCTGATACGTCGAATGCCACTAAAGTTTTTTTTATTTATTCAAAATTATTGCAATATAAGTTGCTCCAAGTACGATCGACGTGAGACGTTGCTTAAGAATTGTACTTTCATGTCAAGGGTGAATTCCTTTATAGGGCGATGTGTCTCTAATGAGCGTTTATAAAGACAAGAAATACTTTACCCTCTTTCCAACTAAAACTATTTTGCTTTGTCGAACCTGCGACGTTTTGCAATATATCGGTTATTATGAACGATGAAAGATGAAGAACAAGAACGAAAAAGGCATGTTTGTACAATAATATATAAATTATAATTGTACGAATCTTAGCTTGTTATTCGAATTAAGAATGGACAGTTCGTCCTCTTCTATAATCTTTAAACACCGGCGTTACGGTGAGCACCACAACACACGCACGAGCCAAAGCCCGGTTATTAAAAAATATATGAATTTAAAAGCTGTAAAATACACTGTGTGACTTCACATAGGTTTATTATAGTTTTATCGGGCAGGGCGTTTACGCCTAGCACTCCGTGTAATTGCTAATAATGGAGGTAATATCGTTGGTTCATTTTGCGATGAGTTTACCGGCCGCGGCGCGATGTAATAAAACGCGTTCAGATTTTTGAACTATTGCGTACATATTGTTGCTAAAAACTAACAAAGGCTCGTATCATTGTAGTTCGCGTAAATAAACCGCAAACAGAACAACTATGTTACGATTTAAAGTGGAAAATAGTTTCCATTCGCTCGTCGAAAGGCATAACTCGCTAATACTTTCCCTCGCGGCGTCGATCTCGTATCACCGCGGTCGCAATAAAATAATTTGTTTGTAAATAAAACTGTTACGAGGCGTAACGAACAAATCGAAGATAATAAAAATGATTGGGTTCATTCATTGGATTCGCGGTCAAGGACGAGCGGCGGGTGTGATTAATAGAGCCGTTATTACGTTTACTCAATCGACTCGCTCAAATCTATGCCAAACGCCGACACGAAGATCGCAAATATTCGTGTTGTTATTGTTTGTGTGACATCACTGTGATAATGGGGGCTGATAGCGTTAGGTGTGCTCGTTGCGATTGATTAGCCCGTTTGCGCAGCGGTCTCTATCTGTAGTAGTAACTAACTAATTTTATAGAGCTGAAGAGTTTGTTTGTTTGAAGGCCTATCTTACGCACTACTGATTCGAATTTACAAATTATTCTTGTGTTGGTTAGAGCATTACATTCCATACTCTGAAATACTCTATAAATATGTCCAAAAGAATTGTTCTTCTTTAAATTATCCTCAAGAGTATTAGACAGACATAATAAACCTACTGTTGCAGTAATTTTTTTTGTTCATGATTAAGACAACAACCGTTTTTATGTAATTCAACTTTTGGTCGAAATACGTCATATGGAAAAAGGTTTGCCAGTTCTTAAATACTCTATTATAAATTATATTTGTATTATGGTAAGAGGGGAGAGAAATCACAATGAATTGTTTGGGCGGACTAAAATAACGCCAATTTATTAAAACATAAGATTGTAGAAGAAAATAATATGGTATTTGAAATGCATAAAGTTGTATTTTTTCATTAATTAATACAATTTTCTTTGTACCTGAGTTGCTATAAAAAGTTTGTAGTTCTCAAGGGCGTCAATACAATAACTGTAGTTCTAAATTAAAGTAGATATCATTTTTGGCATTTTTTTAATGTCTAGTAAAATCAACATGTAAAGTATTGTTCTAGAGTTGGAGATGAGTGCCTCATTGTATGGATTAGCTCAAATCTCTTATAGGTTGTAATTTTTTTTTATTTCATGCCATTCTCCCTCTAGCAACTTGAGAGAGGCCTGATAACAAAAACCATTATGTTTCAATAAGGAGGAAAATAAAACTGCTCAATTAACTTAGGCGAAAATGAATTTGTACTATTATTTGTTAAAAAATTATTTTAATAATTTTCGGTTACTGTACTCTTGTTAAATTGCAGTTAGGCTACTCTGCCTCTGGCGGCCTCATTTATATTTTTGAAAATAAAAGTAACGTTGTAATTCATTAGTAAATGGTATTAACTTCCTTCTAGGGCTACGAGCGAGGTGGTTCTCCTCAGCCAACTCATCCGCAAGGCGCTCCGAGTCCTGGTTCCGCGCAGAGCGCGCCCGGCGGTATGTCGCCCACTCAGGATTCTCAACATTCACCGCACTTGCCGCCCGGGTCCCAACCCCCACTGCATCAGGTATGTGCCAGTTTATTGTTCTTTTCGTGGATATCTCGTCGTACGTGAGATATCCTGGATTTTCGTGAAACAAAGTCCTAATCAACTCTTAACCCACTACATTTAAATTTTTTTTGCTGCATTTATTGCATATAAATATTGTCTGTTTATGCGAGTAGTACACATTTAAATAAAACCCCTAAACTGTTTAAACATCAGCAGCCGTGGTCCCAGTCACCACGGCTGCAAAATATCCGGATTATCGGGCCGTAGTTAAATTAAATAATATAAGTTAGAATAATTTACGATAAATAATTTTTAAAAAATCAATTATCATCAAAGTTATGACAGGTGATAATTAACTCGAAGAAGGCAAAGAGACATGTTTACCAGCCGTGTTAATCAAAGTTTCTCTAAATAAGAAAAATTCTATCTTAAAGAATTAAGTTTTCTTTAAAAACATAGTACCTTTTGTATGCGTTAACAAAATATATTATAAATCTATAGTTTTTTTAGATGAATTAAAAATCGATTTTACATTGGACTAAATTTATGACACGGGGTTAGAGCACCAGCGCGCATGCATGCCAGTTTAAACCCTGCCCGTGTGTTTTTTTTTTTAGTTAAAATTTATTTCTAAAGTATGTTGAATTTAGCGATTTGTTAACAAATTCTCATTATGATGGAAATAATTTATCAGCGCCAGAACGGCCGCGCCGCGAATAAAATTATATTTGCCATTATATAAAATAACGAAAACACGCGCCGTGTTCATAAACGAACACCATAATACGGCCGCGTTATTTTATATGGAAATCTGTAACGTTAACTAAATTGCACCGCCCCGAATATGGGACGGTCGAGTAATCCACGAAACTCGGCGAACGCTTCCAGTACGAACTTTACTGTTATCGCCCGCCGTTAAACTCCTAGCAGCGTACGCAATTTTTAAGAATTACCATCTTCCTCAAATAACTATTCGTTGCCACGCTCGCAACGGTTATGGAGCGAACTTGCTTTGTTTTCGTTCAAAGGTGAGGTTTGCGGTGGCTCTTGTGACGCCTCTTCCTTCAGCTCTCATACGCTCCGTTTTCGAATTACCTTCCACGAAGTGAATCGTGCTTGTCAGTACTAAAACCGTCTCTTCAAAAATTTAATTAGAATGTTATTTTCAATATTTTACTCAAATTATTATAAATCTGTATGTAAATGCAGTTTTTTTTTTATAATCTTTCTTCATCTACACCCTTACATAGTACATTAAATGTACGTTGTAATTCTTGCCAATTCGTTGATTTAGGCTTTTTAAAATGTTGTACAATTTTATTAAAATACTATCACAAACTAGGTATGTCCTTCCATAATATTCAATTAACATTAGGAACTTTTATACAGAATTTATTGATTCTCAATGTAAATATTAAAGAAGGGCTCTCGATAAAAGGTTTAATAAGTAAGGATATAGGTACTTACCTAAATGATAATATGAAATTTATGTATCTAGTAAATGGTACGGAATCCTTCTTGCCAAAGTCCGACTCGCACTTGGCACGAATTTATAAATACTTTTATTTCAGATATTTTTTTTCACTCTCATCTAAAACTAATTAACAATTTAATTCACTTGTAATTTCAAGTTTTACTTTGTATTCTAGAAGATAAACGTAATACCTCACCACCCAGCAATCTTACGACTTCGGTATCGAATCGATCACTTACTATTTCTGGCAAAATCAAAACGATTCTATTTAAACATTTATCAACCGATAGCCTATCACTTCGGCGAGCAGCTAACGCTTTCGCTTTGATGAAATAAATTATCTACAAGTTAGACTATTCCGTTTACCTTAAATACGCCATGTGGTAGAAGGCTCAACTTAAATATTACCCCATGTCAAAAATAAAGTAACATTTGTGGGGAGAAGGGGGGAGGTGTCGCTCCGCTACGTTTATTATAGGGAGATTGAGATACCATACCTGCGAAACTAAGCCCCAGTGGCAATGTATGTTAACTTTAGTTTCCGTGCTACAAGTGTATTTTCTCAACTCGCTTTTGTACTACTCATTATCAATCAATATAACTAACGAAATTAAAAATTCCATTTCCCGACTTAACATTTGTATTTTGCAGTCGCTAATCGAATAGTCTCCGCTGTACGTTAGCAATTTACTAGACGGTTTGCCTCCGTTGCTACATTGTGTAATGGCAAACGCTGCCGAAGAAATGTAGAAGGCAGAGCATAAATCTAAAAGTCGGAGCGACGCGCGGTTAATTCTCCACGATGTCAGTGGAGAATTTCGAGAGTCAAGGACCATTCCGGCGTCGCGATCGCTCGAGAGTCGTACGGTCGAAATGAAACGTCGTATCTTATTTTATGATTAGCGGCTCGAAAGCGCTTTGTAATTTTGTTAGTTCCGCCTTTCTGGTGCTGGGGGCGAGCACGGCGAGCGGAGATCGATGCGAGCGAGTGCGAGCGGGAGCGCGCTACCCGGCCCTCGCTCCGTCCTCGTCGCTCGAACCGCCTACTAGTCAGCCATGTTGCGCTCGACCTGTGTTCGCCCGACCGCCATTGTAGCGTTCGTAGCTAGTGATGTCCGCGGACCTCGCTCGATGCTATTGCGAACGTTTTATCGTTCCCGAAAGTACACCACCCGCCCGATCGAAGCGATACACTCTCATTACACTTTTACGGGCATTGCGGCAATTGGATGTTTAAATATCGTAAAGGTTGCCTCGGAGCGATATTAAAATCGCATTAACTCATCGGCTAATAGTCGAGCGATCATAGTTCAGCTTAGGTCTGTTTTACGATCGCTTTTAATCGAATACGGCTACGAAATAGTCGATAGAATATTTATCGATAGCCAAGGAGCTCGGTGGACATGTAGGTACGGCTCCGGAATTAAAATGTCAGACGTGCAGCAACGCGGGCGAACAGGGGGCCGCGAGGGGGAGCGCGGGCGGGGGCGGGCGGCCGGCGTTATTAATAACCATAAGCCGGCAGACGCACGAACGTCCAGAGGGGCCATGGCGCGCGGTAATGAGGAATCACTAATTATATTTTACTGGACTCTAGCACTGAAACAACATTAATTACATTGGTCTTTTATTGCGAACGTCCTAATAAATCCTATTTTAATCTGTCGATGTTTTACGTTGCGCCTATCGATAACTCGTTTAATTAGCGGTTATCACAACATTATTACGGGCGACCGGCGGCGAGGGCTCGGAATGTATGTCGGGGCCCACAAATTGGATCGCTCGGAGGTAGTGGACGGAGACTGACAAGATATTGTGTTCCGTCGGGGCCTGGGCCGCTTTATATTCCCCACAGTGAGCGCTCCGCTGTGTGCGACAGCTTTGTCATTCCCCGGTCCCCGCTCGTTCGCTTCGTCCGTAAAAAGTTTAGACATTATTTTGTTTTGAGGCACGGTGTCCGTCAAAGACTCGAGCGTAGTCGAATGACGTTTTGTGGCTAGCTCTAGCTCCGTTTAAAATGAACAGAATCCACATTATTGAAGCCCTAAATTGAACGATGAATAACGTCGGACGTGAAAGACTATTTTGAATTCGCTGCGCGATAATGAGTTTCCTTTATACGCCAGTCGAGTCGCGATCGCTCTTTCATTAAACAACTTTTACTCGATTTAATCTCGTCATTCAGCGGAACTCGCATTGCAACTAAGAAGCGACTCTAATGTCTGCTCCGTACAAAGAGCGAGTTATCGTTTGGAGTGTCGCGGGCGGGCGGATAGTGTAACAAACTGCGAAATGTTCTAGATTCCGGTAACTTTAGCCCGGCTCGGAAGCGGGAGCGCCGACTGCGGGGCACATTCTCCCGTGGAGCTGCAGAATGTAGTCTCGTAGCGTGGGGGTCGGGAATTGGCGTGCTGGATAAATTATAACGCTCTCTCCCTCCTGCGAACCTCGCAAAATAATACATTTGAATTTGTTACTGAAAAGCTCCCGTTCTCTTTTGGTCTGTCATGATTTTATTCTCGGTTTATGAATGGGTTTCGTGTTATTTATTGTTTTAATGATAGCATTAAGTTCTCGCTTGAATTGCTTTTTTTTGTTTAAAACGTATTTATGCAAATGTAGATTGTCAGTTGTTTTTATATTTAACGCGAAATCGAAGTTTTTAATGTATCACATTGCAATAGACCTGTGTAGGTATGTGCCTAATGAATAAGATAAGTCAGCTCTATATATTAAGTACTTACACTTAATCCTGTATTAGTTCTCAAAATTAATTGCAATGGCATTTCTTATCCTAACACTTGCTACCAGACAAAAACGTGTTGAGACATAAAATCTCTTAATGTTAACCCATAATAAGTAATAACAGACGTTTAAAAGTTGTAAACTATGTTGCAATTTGAAAAATCCCATAAATGTTAGATCGGCGCTCAGAGCTCACGGAGAGAAAGAATCATTTCAAAAGTGGAATTAAAAGATATCGCCTTTGTAAAACGTCGAAAGTCTTAAGCTTCGGAGCCGAGTCGCGGAAGAGTTGTGAATATAACTTTGCACTCAGCCGAACAAGTTTTTAACGTCGATAATTAAGACTTAGTCCTTCCTTGCGAACGTTTCTCTGATAATAATAAGTGTTGTTGTTACTTTGTTGCGCGATTTCCTAGAATCATCGTTGGCTTTATGACGTGGTCAATAGGAACTACCTAAGTTGAAGTCGGTAAAATTGGTCTTTTTATAATAGGATTACAATACAATAGTATACACATATTGAATTATCAAACTTTATCTTAAATGGTTATTAAAACATGACCCCCCATGACCATGATTGTTGCAATACATTCGAAATGTCAGGCCGTCGTTAAAATCAATTGTAAATATATTTTGCGTTTTAAATGTTAAAAGTGGCTAATTTAAACCAATGAGAAATCGAAATGTATAAGAATTTACAGTTTGCCTTTGTCTGTGGGATCTATCTACTCACAGCTATGCTAACTTGACACTGAATACTGACTTTTGATCTCGATTTTACTTGCATTTTGCACTTGAAGCAGTGTTTGTTGCTCTATATGGCGATAGCCGTGAAGGAAGAAATATATATATTTATTTTTTAATTTTTTTCCACATCATGGTAATGTATAGTAGAGATGGCTAGGAAAATTAAAGTAATACTTTCGTTTTTTTAACTATCGCCGTGATTAGATTCGTCGTCGGTCGTATCGCAACGGCGAGTGCTCAACTGGTCAGTACGAATAAGGCCCGTTATTCTAAGTGGATTGTTTAGAGCACGCAGGCGCCCGCGTCGCTTTCAATTAATTACACTTAGCGGTCAGCTAGGCGACTGGCGCTTTGCTCTCTTGTATACACTGATACTAGAGACATTACTCCGATGGGTTTTGCGTGGAGGATTGTGATCATCTCAGTTTTTTTTATTATAGAAGAGGACAGACAAACATATGGTTCACTTGATGGAAGGTGATATACATCAGCCATATAACATTAAATAATATGCTGTCGACCTATTTTGGAATTAGATATTCGGAAATACACAACTGAAACCGTAACCCGATTAAACATGACGGCTTTTTCATCTGTGGATGGTAATTCGTGACCCGGACAGAATTTCGATATCCCTACCACCCATTTAATATCCAGATTTCCAAACGAAGTCCTACATGTTTCAGAAATATTATAAATTGATTACAAAAATGTTGGACCCGGTGGGGATATGACCCGCGACGCGTTGATTCTAGCCCGTCTAAAATGCACCAAACGCGGTTCTTATTTTTTATAAACAAATTATATTTAAATTAAACACTTATTCTTTAACAACACGTAAACTATATCATATATCTACGATGCTTGAAACGATTAAATATTATACCTACTTGTTAATCTTATACCTAGTTAAAAAAAGAAAGCTCGTGAACGAAATAAACTATATTTTTACTGTAAGCGAACTCGCCGAGAACGAGTTTCCTTCCGCTCGACTACTGGCCTTAAATATTCGGTTGGTCGATGTTTTCATTTAAATTTCTTATATAAACGGTAACTTTCCGTATTTTCAGGGTTATCCACCTCCGCCGAGGCCTGCCCAGCCGTCCACACCTAACGCGCACGACCAAGATTCGGTAGGTTCTCTTTATTTTTATGTAACATACTTTCAGGAGGAAAGCAACTGAACATAACGAAAATATTGCTAAAACTGTGCATACTATGTATTGGTAACGTTTATATCACTCTTTCGCTTCATTTACATTATTATCTTACAACTAACTGTGTCAGCGACTTCGTCCGCGAAAGTCGTAATTTTGCGCATCAGACTTGGTTTTTGCGAACCCCTTTATCTTTATAAACTTAAGCTGTTACCCACGATGATGGTCGCGTTCCTTTCCGTCATTGTTGAAAGTTATCTTAAAAGATAGGCATTATAGCGTCGCGGACTTGTTTTAGATCATTTAAAGTGGAATCATTCTTTCATATTTTGGGTATTTAGAACCGTTCTTGCAGACCCATAATGATGAATATTTCTTTCCGTTTTTCCACATTACCCGCTGCTTCTTCGCTCCTATTAGTCACATCGCGATGTATTATAGCCTTCCTCGATAAACTCTACACAAACCATAAGTATTTTATCAATTCGAATCAGTAATTCCTGAGATTAGCGCCTTCAAATAAACAAACTCTGAAGACTTTAATTTTAGTAAGTTTCAAAAATAATTACTCGTCTCTGAAAATAACTCGCGCAACCCTTTCCACATCTGCTAGTCTCAATTTAGTAACTGAATATGGCCCTAATTTGCTCAACACTACATTATAATCGTCGACGAGTGTTTTCATTTAGCACATGTGGTCGCGAGAACAAGTGAGGCTCGCTGTTTGCGTCGACACTTCATGCAAACTGTTGTTTGTGCCCCCGCTCTCGCAGTCGACAATAAGCCGCGCTTAATTGTGCTCAAATCTGACAACCTGCTAAGTGTCTACGAACCGCTGATGTGTTTACGCCCTAAGTCAATTCTAATTGATTATCTAGAAAAGTGTATATAGGCGCAATTGGTAGAGCGCCAGCACGGATCGGCGAGTTTGAGTCCCGCTTGACTTCAAACTTTAATATATTGTTAATTTATTCGCAGCAACAACAACAACAACAACACGCTTGCATTGCTTCAGTCGGGCAATGCACAGAAGTCTTAATTACTTGCTTCTAAATAAATCCGATTATTGAAACGGAGACATAAATATGTTCGCCCAATGGGGGAACGGTTTTACACACCTTATTATCTTTAAAGTACATTTGTTGCTATTTTAACATATTTAGTGAGTAGATAACATTCAAAGTTTGATTGCGTCCGTTGTTAAAGCTGGTTCTCTAAATGTTAAACCGAAAGCAAGTCCAAAGGTTAAATTTGCCTTTGAATAGTACTAACCTCCCACGTTTTTGTCAGCGTTTAGACTACGATAGCGGGAACAGAGTTCTTTGATGTTTATTTAAGTTCAATTCAATGCGCTTATTAATTCAAAATTGAATAACTCGAATTTGTTGTCTATTAATAAATACTTTTGTCTGTAAGACAAACTAGATCCGCATTGTTAATGCATATTAACTTTTATTCAATTTTAAACATTTCTCCATTCTACTGTTGTAACTATAATAAAACATTATTTTTTCACATATTATTGCACAATGCATACGATTATATAAATTAAATTAATAAAGTTGTCGACGCGAAGGGGAAATGAACCGGCATCTAGAGCGTTCCGTGGTGCAGTTGAGCTACCGTGTTTATCTTCAATTTTTTTTCAACTTTTGACTTTGCACATTCAACTTAATTTGAAATATTCATATTTTTTATGAACCCTTGAAGAATTAAATAGTTACTTATCGATGGATCATGTCTAAAGAAAGAAATATTACATTGTTATATGTGTATACTATATAGATTAACCATACATTAACTCAAATAGTGCATTTTTATAGACTAAGCTACGTAATATAATGTCGAGCAGTAAATATTTGCGACGGCATATCGTCGAGCTGTTTCATTAAGCTCAGATCAAAGCGAACGAGTGCAGTTGAGAGGCGCAGCCGGCGGCCAAGCGCGAATACTGTCGCCCCCGTATCTATCTACACATTACAATTAAAAGAATTGTCAGTTACACACGCCGGCCCCGGCGTAGGGTTGCGTCTTAGTATTTCTATTGAAATATTGTTCAAGACAGTGGTTGGAAATGTTTTAATAAAATTCACACAGTATATTTATCAATTCATTATCCGATTTGGTTGCAAGTCATGTTTGTTTAAAATTTTTTTTTGAAAATGTTTTTTTTTTTACAATAAATTAAAATTTCGAATGCTGTCTTCCTATTTTGAGTTATATTTTACAACCAAACTGGCTGAATGCAACTCCAATACTCTTAGGTCTATAGTTACGACAAAATATTATATGATGTCCATGGCTCCATTATTTTAACTAAGAATAGGCGGTCCCGTCTGTTCGCTTCCATCGTCTAAAGCGAAGTTAATGATTCAATAGCGCAGTTGGTTTAATGCGGGCGAGTGAATGGCCGAAGCCGAGTGCTCGTGTTGTTGTTTTAGGATCCGTCTTAGCGATGAGTGGCGGCTTATCTATAAAAGGCTCTATTGATTTAGGAGATATTTTTGTTGCGTTTCACATTTTAATCAGGAGCAATATAGATAGAACTTCCGCCTAAGTCACTACTACTACAAACTACCATCCGCAGATTAAAAAGTTCAAACAAAGCTATTTTAATGCTATATGCTTGCTTATATCCTTCCATCAAGTGAATGCTATGTTTGTCTATCCTCTTAAAAAAAGATAGCAGGGAACATTACAATATGATATAATGTGTATTTACACAATGTATATGTAATCTTTCTTTTAATTGTAAGTAATTAAAATACTACGGGGTGTATTCAGTCTGTTCCAAACTATTTCCGTGCCTGTAAGTTTATTTACCATTATAGCAGTTGAAAGGATTTTTGTAACTGCGCGTATTTAATCACGTCGCCACCCCTCGCCGCCACGGTACGGTTTCAAAGATTTCACGACGTCAACCCTAAATCGTATCTAAAAAGATAGAGCCGCGCTTTGAAGTTGATTGATACCGTTAGTCGAGCGAGCATTGTCTCGCGGTCCGGGGGAACCGAATGAGAGGAATTATTAAAGCGGGCGCTGGATGTGTCGCTTTTTGTAATGAATTTACGGGGACTAGGGGACCCGCTCAACCCTAGAGCCGTTGCCCCGGCCACCCCGCCTGCCGAGCGCGATACTGTTCGCTTTTTATGCTCTCTCGACGATGTCAACGTTCAAGATACTATTTGCCGGACCGTGCACTCTTTAGAGCGCTTAAAACCAAATAATGCCATATTACGAACGCTAGAGATACATTTGCATAACTTTTACCATTACAAAAGAGATGATAATTCTCAGCGGAAATTCATAGAAGGGGTTCCTATTTGGGTTATTTATTTACGCAACGTCGACTGAATGACGGCTCAAAGGAAAATATTACTCGGCCCAGAGACGGGAGGGGCTGCTCTTTGAGAATGTCCCTACAATTGCTATTCATTAATGTCACAAACTCAACTGCACCCCAAGATGCTTTGAAACGCTTCAAATTATTCCTCCAGCTCTCTTATCGTTGATTGAAACGACGGCAGATTTGAGGATTAACGTGGCTTTCGAAATAATAACGTATATTTGAGTAAACTATATCAAATGCACATATTTTGTTACTTAATTAGTTTTTCTCATTAAAATATGTAGTTCTTTTAACCTGAAGCTTACTTGTTCAATTGTAAAACTTGCACCGGTACGTGAAATATTTTGTATAACAAATTGTGTAAACGTAAAATGAGAAAGGCGAGCTCGACCCGTTCGTTGCGCGTTCATAATAAACGAGATTGAGTGGGGTAGAGTCAAATGAATGACGGTAGCATTGTACGACGTAATCAGCCGTCGGGCGACGTGCGTTCGCATGTGGAAACAAAACGGATACATTTTAACTAGAGGAAAATTTTTAACAATGTTTGCGAGGAGACGAACATCCACCTTTACAACTTTCAGCGCATAAGACACTAATGTCAAATGCACGCTATCGTGCCCAACAATGTCACGTACATACTGACGTTCTATTGGATTTGTAAACTGTATCCACGATAATAAGTCGTTTTAGAATCTCTCGAAACTCGGAAAAGTCAAACGACCCGTCCAGTATTCTTTCGACGTTATTTGATTGAGAAACGTCGGAAGCGTTCGAATAATTTTGAACCTTATTTAGCTCGTTTGTGTCGGATTTCGTCGAATAAAACGTATGCTCAAACGCGATTATGGCAATAAAATTGTCAGTGTTTGTGCTGACCTCGGTGTCAACTTTATCTGACGTAAATTATAACACGCAGACCTCACTCGTTCCACCAGTTTTTGTGCTGTTAATGGAAAGTCGGCTACGGCGAATCGAATACATTTATTTTCGATAAAACGTTAATCGTAGACTTATTATTAAAAATTGCCAATTTGAACTCGAAAGCAAACTTCGAACGGCGGATCTGCAAATTGTGTTTACTTTTACTTTTCTCCCGAGTCCCCCGGTACGAAATTACAAATAGAACTCGCTTTGTAATTGTATAAAGCGAGGGCGCCGCATAACGCCGTCGACTGCAATCCGAGCGCGAGACCCACATACAGTTATTTATGTTTAAGTCCGCCTCGGCCGCTCCTCGCTTCCGCTCGTCAACGCGTTACAGATATTACCGGCGTTAATTTGGCTTAGCGAATATATTTCACGTCATTTCAAAAGAGCCTCCCAACAATTGCATCGTTTGGAACGAATAATGGCGTCGATACGAATTTATCGCGCGGCGAATTCATTTTTTAGTCAGCCGGACAGATGGAGTGGCCGGCCGCATTCGGCTCGAATGTAATTATTGCGGTCCGATTTCGATAATGCGCGGACGAGGCCGCGCGCGAACGAAATGCGGTCGGGCACACGTTATACTTGCATTTTAATAATTGAACTCGCAAAACAGATAAAGCCTTTTCGTGTTATTCGGCTCGCTATTTCGAATGAAGCATCGGCGTTTATTAATTTCGCATCGAGCGTGTAATTTGTCAAATGTTTCCATCGAAAATGATGAACGGTTTCAAATGCACGTTGCACTAATTGAACTATCTACAATGATCGCCGTCGGCGTACGCGGATGATATTCAACCGACTGCGCAATAAAAGGCTCGCGGTCGGTTCGTAAATGTAAGATTTACCCCAATTAGGCGTGGGCCGCGCGAGTGGGTGGTTTAATCGCGCTGTAAAAACGTCGGATCGCCGGTAACGAGGTTGTGGCACCGGACTCGTTATCCCGTAACGATATGGACTGTTTCTTGATAGTGTATGCACGGAGGAGCACTACGACTACTACTACACTCGTGTCTAATTTTATCAACTTTCGTGTTAAGAACGAAAGGTTGGGTGAGAATGAAAAACAAGATGATTAACCTTTACCCATTAAATGAATTATAGAAGTAAGTATGCCTCATCGGTTCGGCCTAGCAGAAAACCTCGTTACGTTCAAGTACCCCCGAGCTCGGGGTCAGGTCCCCCGTTTGATAATAAAGTTACGAGTCGATAAAGTCAAGGGGACACACAACATATTTCGCTGTCAGGTGTAGAAGCGACAGGAGCAGTTTATGACATCAAAAAGGATCGTATTTGCCCACCCCCATATCGTTATTGTTTTAGAATGCCTCTTTATTTCTAATGCTCGTGTGTGCCGTTGCCATCGTAAAAGGGACGGTTTATAGCAGTCTGCGACCCCGCGAAACGGGGTGAAGAGCCACACTTCTGGGTGGTCGTGCACGACCACCCCCGCTTCATTTGTTTATGAATTTTCATATGCAAAACAATGTGTTGCGCTTTTATTGCTAAATTGCAGTGCACCTGATTTATCATGCGAGCCCCGGTGCGTCATAGATTTTTTTAACGAATGTTTTAGATCAACATCTCTTACCCATAGTTGAATTGTTACAAGCCACCGGCGACAATGTATGTTTACAAGTGCTATCATTACGCTAATCATAATTATAACTTTTTATGTCTATTAAAAACCTGAGTGAGGCCGTGACGTAGCGCTACGTGCAAAGGTTGCGTAACATGTTATTATTATGAAGATTGATAAGCGTTTATTAACCTTTAGTGGATTACATTTGAATGCACGACACGTGTTATTAGCAATACGATCAATTACCGCCGCTCGATTATGTGAACATTACGAATACGGTTATTGTAATAATAACGACATTGACCCCACGACCCCGGCCCGCGTACCGATTGTCACAACCGTCAATCACGGTTCGCTGTTTACGGGGAATGACGAAATGATTGACAAACATACGAGCATCTATCATAGTACTGGTCGTTGGACAATATCTGATTGCCGTCTTCGGTGTGATGCAATTGGCTTCAAAATGTTGTATCTATACAATACATGAGACATACTCATATGGGATCAGATACTATATCAGAATTAGTGTAATAGTAGCAATGTATGACTAATAATCAACGGGTCGTGAGTTCGGTCCCCACGTGGGTTCAACACGTTTCTAAGTAATATATATTTTTCTGATACATGTTGGACTTCGTCTAAAATCTGTATTAAATGTGTAGTAGGGATATCGAATATTCCGTGCGGATAGGTAGAATCATCGCCCACAGATGAAGAAGTCGTAAATTTTAATCGCGTTTCGTTTTCAGTCCGTGGATTTTTGATAAGCCGGATTCGGAAAGCCACGGCCTGAAAACGAAAGCCAAAAGCCTAAATAGGCCGTGAAATAGCGGTATTTAATAAGTATTTCGCATTCCAAAACGCGAACCCAATGTTTGTCTGTTCTCCTCTATCATAAAAAAAATCTATAAAAAAAATAAAAAGAAGTAAGGGTGGAAAAGACATTAGGTAGCAGAGTTAAAAAAACATGTAAAGAGTAGAGGGTTATAGTAGCTTAAAATCTTTTGCAGAGCGAGATTATGGCATCTAGGGTGAAATGCTTGCCCTATGTGCACCGATCACTAGGGCTCTAGGGCCTCAATCGGTATTCCAAGCATAAAACAATAATGATATACGCGCCCCGTATATTTTAATAGTTAGATTACATCAACCGTTACAATTCATTATTTGGTACTCAAAATAAAAGTTGTTTTCTTAGCATCGTTTGTAGTTTTCGCGAGTATCACATAAAAAAAAAAACTTAACCGTTTAAAACGCGAAACAGTCAGTTTAACATCGTTGGAAAATATTTAAATAACTCGACGTTTCAAATACTTTGCAGCAGTCGTGGCAGTTGTCTACCCTTGTATACGTTTAAGTTTTTCTCTACATATGCATAGTACATTATGTCAAAGCCATGACAGTTTGCAAAGCGCTCGGTTCCATGTGTTTTTGTTAAGAACTCTACATTACAAAGCTATTCACAAGTATTAGATTCAAGTTAGAACGATGATGTCATCAGATTGCGATGAGGCGCGCCTGCACACAGTTTACGTAACATCTTTGAAACAGTTGGAGGGTAAATCTTCAATCATCACAATAGCACTTATCACCTTTACGAGGCGGTACAAAGAATACTTGCTATCGTTACAAAAAACCAACGTTGGTGGCGCCGCTGTCAATGGAAACCTATGATATTTAACCCATTATATTATGTAGATGGAATGGAACAATTCTTTTTTCTATTTATGCAGCTTGTCTTACTTTTTTTTGTAAATTTTACTGTGTAATTAATTTGTACAACAGCGACTTTTTTTTTGTTTATTGTAACTTGAGTGTGGCACCGCTGTCCACACTCTAAGGACTTACTGAAAATCAGTTTCAGATCAACAAAGGGCCTGATATAAACTGATTAAGATCCTATTCTACTAGCAGCACACAACTTTAGCCTATCTTATTATATTAAGTTATACTGTTAAGATAAAATTATGTTTTGTTTTTTTTATTTTTAGTAATAAGTGTAACATGTGTTTTTGCGTGCCTTAGTAGTAAATAAATTTCTTCTTATTTATGCTCCTATTGTAAAACTTTAATAATAAGTCACCATATATTTACATCTTCAATTCATGAGATATATACAATCTGAAATACAAGGTTTAAGGTATTGGTTTATTGACCGCTTTAAAAAAAATCACTACTAATAAACTAAAAATGCGAAATATATTACTTAACTTATTTCTAATTTATTTTAACTACGACGTTTTGTAGCAGATTTGAGTTTGACATTAGGGACACTCTCCATCTTGAGTGACCAGCCACATGGGTGTTTTTTTTTAAATAGACCGGGAAATAACACCGCTTGTCTCTCATCGTCTCTAATCGGATCGGATTAACCCAATATAAGTTCCATACACTATGGCTTCATGCTAGTTCGTGCCCGCGGCGTACAGCATACCTAGCCTCACCTCATGCCGAACAAACGTGAATTCTTCATGCACAGCATATACTATG